CAGGCTCCATTCAGGAGATCTGATGCAATGTTACAACCTAGTTCATTCAGCTTTATAGAAACTTATGTATATCGGAAGTAAATAATGGTTGGGACCAAGGAACAGAAAATAAGATAATGTTACTGAGAAAAACAACACCTTGAAACCCTTTCTTGTTAGTCAATTATGCAAGGTGAACTGCCACAAATTAAACAAATACACAGATCATTATCTCAGCAAGTTAAGATGCCCTTATGATGAGTATGAATTACATACATGTAAGAGGCTTGAAGGTAGCCTGCAAAAAGAGAATTTGGTAAGGAAAGAGATAGCTAGGACATCAACAAGATGCCCATGTTGAAGCTGAACAACAGAAAAGAAGAATGAGAAGTTGGGAAATAGAAGTTTAAAGAGATCAACCTAATACTTAAAGGAGGAAAGAGAGTACACATCCCAGGTTAAACCAATATACACACATCCCTAAGTTTTCAAACAAAATGCTATTTTCCATGCTACACATACTTTATTTCCCCATAAATGCCTGGCTATCTTTCAGTTTAACTCTCCATTTTTTTCAATGAAATATTTCATAACTTCTCAGAACAAAAGAACGTCTAAACTTCATGGTCTATTTTAACACTTACAGATAGAATTTTCCTCCTGATATACACTGCTTATCTAAGTCTTATATTCCAACTCCATTTCTTGGGATAGTCTTGTGACTAGCTCTAGCCAATAAAATATGGCGGAAGTGATGATATGTTAGTTCCAAGCATTTACCTCAGGGAATTTGCACACTTCCTCCTGTTCCCTTGGAACCCTGCCAAGAAAAAGAAAAAAAAAAAAAAAACACAAACCCTGCCTTGTGAAAAAGCCTATGTTAGACTGTTCATGGGTGAGAGTCCACATATCAGAGAAAAGACTCAGCCTAGCTAAGGCTACCTAGACCAGCCAGTCCCTGGCCAGTCTAGCAGCTGACCTCAAAGTCTAAGTGAGCCTAGCTGAATCTATCCTAAACTGCTAATCTGTAAAACTTTGAGTGTAATAAATGATTCTCACATTAAGCCAGAATGTTGTGGCATGATTTATTACGCAGTAAAAGCTGCTTAAATAATTGAAAGATACACAATGGCTTTATCCCTCTAATGTAATACTTATAGGAGTGTGTCCAATATTAGAACCAAGTATTTGATGAATACCCATTTGCTTCCAGAGAGAAGAGGTTGTATTAGTCATTTATGTATTCCTACAGCATGTCAGTTGTGTTTTGTCTATAGTAGGCACTCAGAGTTTGGCAAAATAACCTGATATGAAAATCAAATTCTAGTGTACAGTAGCATTAATGTAGTTAATATTTAACCACAGGAGAAAAAATAAATCACAATTCTGTTAAAGAAACAAATAACTATTAAGAATCTACTATTTGCCCTGCATTGCAGCTGTCTATCACCAATCATTAATGGCCAACTGTTATTAGCACATGGAGTATACACATCACCTTTCAAGATAGTTAATTAGTTGAGCCCTTGTCCTTCTCAAGATTTAGCAAATTCAGCTTTTGGTAGCAATATAAGCATCTATTTGATATTTATGTGTGAACTTGTAATGCAATCCTACTTTAATGAAGTTACAAATATAGAAAATATAAAATGTTAATGAAGATTTTAACTCTCACTGTCTGATTCACATTATTATTAATAGCAGTTGTTATAAACCAAGCAAACTGACAAATGAGATCCATATGTAAAATGCACTTTAACTCTAAGTGCTATACAAATGTAAAATATCATGAAAGCCTGTATATTAGAAATGTCATTCACTCCTTTCCTTAATAAGGAAGACAGACTAGACAAGACAGGTAAAAAAAGGATGAATAATTTTGCTATTCACATCTAATCTGCTTCCGAATGGAATTAGATAGCTTTTAAGTGACACTCTGTTATTAGAGTCCATACAGAGATGATTTCATCACATATTACATGTTTTGAATATTTTTTAAGTTGTCATTCAATTGAGGCTGTCTGAAAAACTCTCTAAAGCAAGAGAACATGAAAGCATGCTCAGAATGAATATACTCATACACTGTGAGGCAATTTTACTCAATGACAGTGAAAGAATATCCACGTTTCACTGTACTGGGGGCAGATCTCTTTATGCATGAGTGTGTGTACCCTACAATTTGCTTTAACTTTAGCTTCTTCCTTTAACTTCTGCCATTCCTGTTTAATATTTTTCTCTTTGACTTATAAAAGGTATAATGATTAGATCAGTCAGTAAGCTAGATAACTTAATTAGGACCTAAACAGGGCATTCAAGGATGACTAAATCCATGTTATGAATTAATGTGTCTGAAAGAAAAATGAGAGTAAAATCTCCATTTCTGGTCCATATAAGGATTCGATAACAATGATACATGTGGATAAGGCTCAATTACTAGTAAATAAGCAGCTCAATAAATCATGACTAGAAAGCCCACTCTTCCCAATTAGGGATGTATTAATAAAAACAGAGTCAAGGGCTCACTGTTAAGTGAGACCGATTTCATCCAACTTGAGAAACATTTTTCTGACAATCAGCTTGTCCTAAGGTAGAACTTGCTGCTTCAGGGGCAGTGAGTTCTTCTCAAGAAGAGTATTCAAGCCTAGTGTGGGTGCTGCACAAGGGTTTAAGTACCAAGCAGAAGCTTGTACTACAGGTCTTTTAAGATTAGTCTCATGTCCCCAAATTCGCCAATTCTATTTTAGGATTCTAAAGAGTACATGCAAAAGGACACTTAATCATGCCTCATTTGATGTCAAGATATCCCCTCTGGAAACACACTCTTAGGTTTTCTATTTATAGTCTGAACATCTTTAAAGTTTAGAAATCTTCTTTCTAAAAGATGCCCCCTTTAAATAAGTTCTGAAAATAACTAAGATGAACTGCAAAGAGATAAATATTTTCAGCACAGAATGTAGAACGATCATTTTTCTCACCATGATTCAATCTGCATGAGGCTTGCTAATAATCAACTGTAGCCCAAGAGCTAAGGAAGTTTTTAAAAATGATCTCGGTTAGGTAAATCATCCCTTTAGGCTGCTTTAATAGAGACGGATATAAGTAGAAACTAGACGGAAGATTCGATGTGAGGAGTTATTCTCTTTCATTATCAGTAAAAATTTTGGAGTTTTGGTTTCTACTGCTAAAACACAAAAAAACTTTGGGAACAGAAATGTAATAAGAAAAACGGGCACTTAAGTGTAAATGACAGTGCTCACAGAGAGCTCACAAGTACTTGAGCATTATTCCCCGGCTCAGGCTCAGATCCACCTCATGTTGGCTGTGCTTCCTAACTTACTCCCTTAGTTAACATTTTCTGTGAATGCTGGTTGTTTTCCATAGGGGCCAAAACCACAAACTAGAGAGAATGACCACACTTCCTTTTCATGAATAGTGAGAATGGAAAAATTTTCTCTTCCATGTGTTTCTCCAGTGAAATTCTATTTCTGCTTTCCAAGAACAATCAACCAGCTTGGGAATTTCTAAGAAACGGTGGGGGTTGGGTGGGGGTTGGGTGGGGACCCTCCCCACTAGATACAACCCCAGAAAACCTAAAGCAAAATCCCAATCTTTCAATCTCACATCTGTCAAAGGGTTAAAACTTGGACGTGCTAGTGGAGTTGCAGAATCCACAGGTGGAAAGTCTTACGTGTGGGAAGAGATACTCAGTTCCATTTGTGACCATGCTGGGAAAGTCTTTATGTGAAGAGAACCCCTACCCCGGCCCCCAAATATTAAGTTGACACACGTTTCTGGGAGATGGCCTGAATCCTCAAACTTTGGCGGGTCTGGAGACACACAATTTTCTGTTTTCTGCTTAACAGAGCTTTCCAGAATTGTCATCAGATGACAGATTACACCGCCCATCCACAAGGATTCAGGGGTAGCTCGGGCCATCCATTATGGGTTAAAAGCTGTTGCAGCATGAATCGAGTCACAGTGGTAAGGAGACTACCGATACAAGGGGTCCTATAGCTTTAAGAAATACCCTGGGCATCTACAAGTTTTCAGAATGCAAACTATGTCAGCTCTGAAAACAAGAGGCACTGCATCATTATGGCAGCAGAAACAAAGCCAGCCCCCTTTTTAAAACAGACAAAAAAAAAGATTGTTTTAATAGGAGAGCAACATCAGTCATTGATTCTTACTTCATTCACACTTTCTATCCAACGCCATCCATCTTCAGAGTGAAGAGATGACAGAGCCCAGTTAACTCTCTCCCTCTTCGGGCCCCCGCCCATCCGTTTCCACTATATCCAAACCACCAAGGCCTACCAACCTACCCATTTCAATCTGTGAGAACTGTCCTACGAATGACTCGTCTCATCTAGTGGGCTTGCCAATGCTCAGGTATGCCGAAATACCATCTGTCACCACATCACTTTAATAGGTTGCCCATCAGTTCAGTATGACTGGTCGGGGCCTGTGCCAATCATCTTCAAAAACAACCACTTAGTCGCTAAAGGCTGACCACATTCTCCAAAGGAAGGGATTGGAAGACTTAAGGCAGCAGGGAAAACCCAACAAACCAAAGCAACAATCCAGAATGTAAAATCTTTCATTTTTTTCTTAAATGCTGCCGGCTACATTATCTGCAAACAAAAGTTCTCCAAGCAGTCAGTCTCTGCATCACTGCACCTGCTTAGCATTGGTTTGCTGGGTTATCTTTTTGCTGTGTCTGCAGAAGCCAACCACAACACAATGGGTCACATCACTTGAGGGTCACTTGAGTCCCTCTTCTCTCTGGGTCCCTCCTCCCACCCCCTGCCTTCCCTTCCACCCACAAAACCTTTAACTCCACCATAGCTAAGGATCCCAGATAGCTAAATAAAAGAGGTGGCCTCAAACACAGGGAAAACCCCTTAGGTCTCCAGTGTGAATCGCCAATGCCAATCCCCTCCCCTCCCCTTTTCCTTAAGACCTGATGGTCTTCAGTCACACATCTTAAAAGAAAAACAAAAAACAAAAACACAAAGACTTACTTGTCTCAAGTCGATGAAGGCCAACTGCAGCGTGTCCTCCTGGAACCCAGGCACCGGGCCGGATCTGGCAAACTCTGTGGGAAAGAAAAGAGGATAAAAAGCGCCTTTAACTAACCATGGACAGGGAGATTGGCAGACGGATGACAGGGAAGACAAGAGAGGCTGGGGGAGAGGAGGACCAAGCTTCTAAGGAGTCATGTCTCTCTCCCTTCAGCTTCTTTGTTTGCCCTTCAAAATTCGTGTCATCAAAACACCATTAATTCCAGCATCCTGACAGCAAGGAAACTGTACTAATTCGACCTGAAATTTATTCCCATGAGCCGCGCTGGGCTTCAGAGTATTTGTTTTGTGAACAGACAAACAACTTGCAAAGGAGGAGGGAATGGGGGAAAGAAAAAAGTTTTTCCTCTCAACACAATAAAATCTTCAGCTGTGAAACTCTTTTCAGTTCCGAAAGCTATTTATATTTTAGATCGCTGAAGGAATTTTCTAATTTCACGCTTGTCACCTCAGTCCCTGAGCATTTATCAAAAAATATTCCCTGCCACATCATTAATTATTCCTTCACTGATTATTTGTATTATCTCATGAATGCCTTATTGCGCGCGCGCGCACACACACACACACACACACACACACCCAGCAGCAGAGGCTGCGCCAATCCGTTGTGTGGCTTTTGAGCAAAGGAGTCTTTGCAGATATGAAAAGGCCCATCTGAAAATATCTTCCGCAAAACTTGGGCGACATTTGCACGAGTTTGTCCTCCCTGTGTATTCTTTGACTTTTATTTTCATTCTCCTCTCAAAAACTCTTCCTTCCTCCTTCTCTTGCCTCTACCCCAAGTTAGTCTTAGGTCAAAGCGACCACATGAATACTACTTGCAATTTACAATAGCACCTTGGGTACATGCACAGTTTATGACTCTGGCTTCTGTGTTGTTAAGAAGAAGATAACTGCACAAGGCTGTAGGGACAAATACTATTAACAGTTAAGAATGTCAGGTTTTATTGTCCCTGAGCCCTGCTTATTATGAAATCAAAAGGTCTTAAACCCCCCTACCCCAAAATACACATGCATGCACACATACACACACAGAGCAAATTCAAAACTGAGATGGTTATTATGTTTTTAATTCTCTCTGTGAGGCTGGTATGAAGCCAGTGTGATGGACACTTAATATCAATCAACTATTTACCTCAAAACCAACTCAAGTGTTTGTTCACAGCAAATACCAAAGGCAATCTTCTCCTTTTAATTACATTTTTCTTCAGGATCTCATTTAAGAAACTATAGAGAGTTGGTATCTTTGTATTCTTTTGAAATTACATAAAATCCATCAAGACACTTGTCTTTATATTTGAAAAATTACTTCTAAACTGGATAAATTCAAATGATCATTTGTGAACAGGGATAGGAAATTCTGTTCCTTAAAATTATTTTCTGTTTGGGGGCTTCTTCAACATAACAACTTTTCCTAAAATCCTTGTCTTGTTTTAAAAAATAATGTTAACAATTTAGGTCACAGGTATTATGGCAACATTATGTCAAACGAAATTTAAAGCAGTTTATTAAATTAATTAAAATACAGCACAAATGTTTTTATAATTGTATACAAAATACTGCCATTGTAGATATTTCAAATAAAAATGACTCATGAATGAACTAAAATAAACTATTTTTGCATGATTAGCAGTACAAAACCTATTTGTTTTGAGAAGAAAATTCAGATAGTATTTATAAATTCATTCTATCATAATAAAACATTAATAATTAATCATGTAATAAAACATTAAGAGCAAAATTCTAAAACTACAATTATAGATGAAGGCTATGTTAATAGAAAGCTTGACATAATCCACCATTTATATCAACAACAGCCATTATCATTGATAGTTTCAAATACAGTAACTGTTTAAATTAGCTGTATACATTTTCCCACACTGTTTCCACTGAAAAGAGTTCTTTGAACCACAAGCACTATTTTTGATAGTCTCAATTGTTACATGATCAGCTTAAATAAGCTTCCTAGGCTTGATAGTTTCTTCCAAGGTTGATCAATTATCAGTATTGATCTTATCAAATCGAGGCTGCATCATTTGAAGTCCCATCAACAAGAACTCTGCTTGAGTCAAAATGCATATCAAGAAGTTCTACTGACCTATTTATGTTCAACTCAATGGAATTGCCCTGTGAAACACAGTGTGCCTAGGAGCTGGCTACACATTCTTGACTCTCCTTATTGGGCATGCTCCCTCACGCTAAATAGATGCAGCTGATGAAACCACTCAGGAATCTGGATGTGATGCATATTTGGTTCTCAGAGTCACTTTATAGGCTTCATTTTTATGACATACTGAATCCTCCAGGTTCCCAAAGGATATGGTGGCCTTTTAAAAATTGATTTCCCCTTTTAAAAATCAAGGAATCAAAGCAAGACAATTGCCTCAGTCATGACAAAGTGAAAAGATTAATTTTCATGTATAGTTTATGGAAATGTCTAATTATTTTACATCTAACAGTATTTGCATTTTTTTTCTCACAGCTTTTTGTGTGCAATTCTTGTCTTATGGTAGAGATAGCAAATTCCTTAGGGAAAAAGGCCACAACACAAAACTAACAAGTATTTAAAATAGTAAATACTCAATACACATTGTGTTTTAATAAAATAAATTATACAAATAGCAACCTTGATGAAGCACATATACCCCTCACAGCCAATAAAAATTTCTGGATTGCAACAGGTAAGACGTCCTTAACCTGAGTACCAATAAACAGGCTTTATGAAAATTCAGGAGCTCCTTAAAAATCACATGTATAGGATATTAAGAAGCTGGGCTTTGGGATAATAAAAATCAGAAGTTGAACCCCAACTTTCCACTTATTAGCTGGATGGACTTACACAAATTATTTACTGTCTTTCAGCTTCAATACCTTTATCTCAAAATGAGGGTAATAGCAGAGCTTTCCTTACAGTGCTACTATGAGAATTAAAACAAACTGGCCAAATTGGCTGGGTGCCTGGTGTATCATAATTGATTGTCATTATAATTAGTTTTTTCATGTGAATATGCATTTCTATGCAAAGGTCCATAGCTTTCACTTTATTCTCAGAGGACTGGTGGTCCAAGAAAGGTTAAGAAACACTTCAATATCCAGCACAAAACATTTGGAGAAATTCAGCTACCATTCCGTGATGAGTGAGTATGTTAGCATAGCGAAATTCATTTATAGACAAATATTTAATTGTTTCATTAAGAAGAAGTGGATGTGACTAATTACTGGGTTGTTTGCCACAGCACATTTTCCTTTGCAATATTTTTAAAAAATTCAACAAATGCAAAAAACAGATCTGTAACTTTGAGGCTTGATATACACAGAGAACATGATTTTTCTCTCAGAATCAATTTTTAAAAATATATAAAAATGTTAATAGCATAAGCATAGATGAGTATTTTAAAAAGAAAATGAAAATGAGAATTTGTAGATAGTCTGATTTTAACTATAAAAATATAATATGCATAGAAGGCATGATAATAAGCACTCACTTCATAATGCTAACCAAGGCTGCAACTGAGAGGAAGTTGATGAGAGGATTTTTTTTTAACTTTATAAACTTTTAGAATGAATATGGATGATTTTATAATCTGAGAAAAAAAACAGAAGAACAAACATGTATAGGTCCATCCACACATGCACACATTATGTAGTGGTATTGATGTACTAGCACTTTCTCTAACGACAAGAGATAAAATTTGTTCAAGATTTAGCTTTAGAGGCAACTGAGATTAGTCTGCACATCCAAATTCCCAGATACCGCTTGACAGACAGGAGGAAAGCTACACATGGTGGTGGGAGGGGGCTCTCTTTCTGCTGTCATAAGCTGATACAAACACAAACTGATTATATGTATACATAAAGAAGCCTCTCTTCTGAGTAATCAGTGAAAAGCTTCCTTCTTTTGACATCACATAAAAGGGTAAAGACAATTGTGGCTAAGTGGAAACAATAGATACATGGGGCACAAAAGACAAGTCCTTGTCTTTCTCTGGACTTGTCCCCTGGATCCCAGAATCTGTGGTAGGTTTTCAGTCTCTCTGACCTGTGCCAGTGCACAAGTTTTCAAAGTCTGGAATCCTTCAACGTAGCGTATCAGCCAGGAAATCAAGGTGCTTCCTTCACATAACAGGAAATGCAACCTTACCTGTGACCAACTTCTGGCTGGGGACTGAGTCACAGTTCCAGTGAGGTTAGTGAGGTGGCTTCCTCGTGGGAAAGTTGTTCAAGGCAGGGTAGCCCCTGACCAGCAACAACTCTCTCCTGAATGTCTGGCTCTCACTTTTCCCTTGTCCAATCATAGCTGGGGCTCACAGAATCTAAACTGGTATCAGGACCTGACTTCAAGATCCAATTTGCAAATAAACAACTGCCGACCCGTTAAGGTTATTAAAGAATACATTTTCAGTTTTAAAAATTTAAAGGAGGTGTGTGACATTATAGGAAAGAAAGCCCACAGTCAGTAAAGGTACAAGAGGAAAAACAAAAATCACGTAAAAGTTCTGCTTGTCACACATCCAACAGCCCTCATATTCTCATACAGACAGAAATCTACAATATTTTTAAAATCAATGTTAATTTTTCAAAAATACCCTGAACATTTATATTTTAAATAATATTTACATTATGATGAACTGAAATTACCATAAGGTTAAAGGGGGGAAGTGCATAACTACCCTAATTTCTTTTTTTTTAAATTTTTTTTAACTACCTTAATTTCAAAATGCTTTCTAGATTTCTTGAAAGCTAGTCTTAAAATTAAGAAACTCTGTTACTTAGAAGGGGAAGAAAAATTTTTAACTTTAATTATCTGGTACATTAACACCTGACTGAGGGGTAATAAATGCACCAAAGAACACAGAATACCAAATTATAATAAAGTGGCCAATTCAGAGTTAGAAGGGGCTTTGAGACATCACAATGAATGCATTAGGCTGTAATCTGTATACCTACATAGGACATTTGAGAGTGTATCAAATCAGGTTTTGAAAAACACTACGACATGGATGCCTCTGAATCC